TTAAAAAGCATTCTGCAGGTAGAGAACAGCTGAAAAAAACCCCTGTAGAGTATTCCTGTAAATCTGACTGCTTTATAACTGATTTTGTACTCTATAGCAGACATTTTGTCAATGGCATACCTTCCCTTCACCCGTTCTCCAGAGACATCCATAGCGGAGTGTGCCAACATGGAATTCTTTCCTCCAATTTTTTTTTTTTCAATACTTCTCAGGAGTAGATTAAATTGAGAGAGAGTGATTGGCCCCAAGTAACTCAATGGGATTTCTTCACAAATTTAGCCAATACTGTATAACATGTTAGCTGTTTAACCCCCATACCTTCCTAGGCTGATTTCTTTAAGATAAGTGATTAGCAAAGCTAGAATTCTAGGATCAAACACAGTTTCAGGTTAATATATGAAGTGACAGGTATGATACAAAAACTCTTAGAGGGAGGAAGGAAAGAAAGAAAACTAGAAGGTCCCTCCAATTCATATAGTTAAGAAGACAATGGGCTGTAAAAAAGAATCTAGTATGTTTTGCTCTTTTAATGAACAAACTTTATCCAATCAAAAATATACTCCTTTGAGCACAACTCCTTAATGGCAGACCATATTTCTATGTCTTATTCTAAATTTGCTGAGCATACTGATTTCTATAATTGAAAACTGAGTGACTGATGTTGTATTTGATTCTGTTTCAGGCAAGCACTGTTTCACATCCAACAATCCTTTTTTAAAGACTTTCAGGTTTATCTGAACTAGTGCTTGCTTGGGACTTTTTCAGAATTGCACTTGATTTTTATGTGTTACATACAGTGTTCCTGGAGAGGCAAGGATGTGGTATACCAGACAGTTCCACAAGCCAGTCTAGCCTCCAGATGGCTTTTTCCTTGATGCACAGTATAACTTTTTCTCAAATATAAATATGTCTATACAGCCAAAATGCCTAATGCAGCTCTACAAGGTTTCTATTGCTGAAGAAAATTGCGGTATTGAATTCTCTATTTTATATCCATGGGAAGAGAAATTGAGCCATGTAAAAGCACTTATTCCTTACATTATCCAAGAGAGGTCTTTTCAGCCTTTCAGATTACCTTTAAGCACCAGGTGCTTATTTTTTCCCCCATATAATATGATAGAAACCTGTCTGGTCATGAAATAGTAGAGCAGATTCAGGCTTCAAAAATCCAGATACCACTATATGATAGCAAAGATGTACACTTTTCTCCCATCTAATAGTGATCTGGAGTTTTGCATCTTACATTTGGAACACCCCCCCCCCCCAAATGGAATATTCTTTTGGGTGCAGACATATCTTAAATATACCCTCATTGTGCTTCTCAGCTGAATGTGTAGCTTTGAGTGCAAGAAGCAATAGAATTATTGAGTTGTGTGTGTAATTCTACTTTATGGATTCTGCCAGTTACACTTCACTGGGGACTCACTATTGATACTACACGGGTGTCAACCCTACAAGGTAAACCAGAATAAGAATCCAATGCCATATAGGACTGGATTATTTTTATGCTAACAGCTATAATTACAGAAACCTGCAAGTCTGTATATGCTTCTCCCCTCCCTTTATCTTCGTGCTAGGGAAGGTCTGAGACATTAACTCAAACTAACTTGTTGGAAAGGGTTTAAAATATGCCTGTCTGATTATTGCCTTGGCTGTGATTCTTCCTCCTGCCCTTCTCTATGTCCTCTACATTAGTCTACAGAAATCAGGTGGGACAAACTAAACTACATGAATATATATCTCTATCCAGATGAATTGCCTACAAGGAACATTTGATACATAGGATCACAAATTGAATTCTGTCTTAGTATCACCTGCTCCCCAAATGCAGAATTATCTATTCCTTGTTGATTTTCAATTCAGTTCATACAACCATTGTAGATTAATGGTTCAGGTGTTGGACTGGACTAGGAAGACTCAGACCAATAGTGATAGCAGACCAATAGTGCTAGCAGACCAATAGTGATAGCAGATAGCAGATCACTATTGCTCAGTCCAATCTATCTCATACTTTTGTTATGTGAAGAAAGAAAGAGGTGATCTTCATGTATTTTACCTTGAGCTTCCAGAGGAAATATGGTATACAAATGTAAAGATGACTATATTTCTGATGTTAAAACTTTTTTCAACTTTTGTATGGTAGCTCAGCTGGGGCTTGATATCTCCCATTTTCCAAGCACTTAAAGTCACAAAACATGGCCAATGCAGTGTTGTGATCTTGTGCAATGAGAGTTTTGTAGAACTGTCTCATTCCTCAAAATAAGGAGGGCAGCCTAACATTGTTCAGGTGATCCTGAACCACAGATCCCAGCGTTGTCCATAATTGATTATATTGAGTATGGTTCCCGAGACTTAAAGTTCACCAATATTTGGAGGAATACATTTTATCCATCTTGTGGCTCAAAGCACAATACAAACAGAAAAAGGCTTAAAGGAGAAAAATATCCCTGCAAAAGCTTTATGGACTAGCAAGAAATCAGTACTATCAGATTTTAGAATGCATTTCTTAAATGAGCAAATGTGCAATGTCACATGAACAGCCCCTTCCTATCTTTTAATTCTCTTCTCCAAATGCCTTTTCCCAATCCACTAATATCATTACAACGAAAATATGGGGTAGAGCCTTTTCTTTTGCAATATCTAGTTTTGCTCTCATTGCAGAGAAAAATATTTTTCCTCAATGTTTTAAATAGAATGGTCATTCTTCTCAGCTGATGTTTTACATCTTTTATATATTTAAATAACTCTTTTCCAAAATATTTTAATAATCAATTTTCTCTACTACTCCTTGTTATGTAGTCTGCATATCAAGCATTTATTGATGGCAATATTTTTTTTTTTAAAAAAAAATCACGTTTGCAATTCTAGAAGAGAAGCTGTAGTTGGAAAAACCTTTTCCCCCAGCGCCAAGATAAGAAGACAAAAGTCATAGGCCTAGATAGATTATGAGTTTTGCTGGTGTTGCTATAGAACAACAATTCTCTGCAAAGCAGTTGCAGGTTGCAATAAGAACTCTGGAGATACAGCCCATTATTTGCCTGAAAAGGGGAACAAAGATTGGATTTAGCCTCCACTTCAAATTACTTCCATCACAACTCATAGCCATTCCGTTTTAGGGCAGCTAAATAAGGACAAAAGAAATACTGTAAACATGCTAATGAAGAACAAAATAAAATCAGAATGCCCTGGCCTGGATGCATTTTAAAGATGAGTTGGCTATCTGAAGAGTAAGCGCACTGAGTCGGGTTAGTTTTCTGATTAAAAACTATGTTTACGCTCTGCTGAAATGTGAGTAAAGTGTTCAATCAGCTCCTTAACCTGTGGCAAAGCTGCCATGACTGGAAAAAAACCTTCCCAGTTGTCATTTAAAATATTCACTGTTTTTGACAGTTTCTAGGAGCTATTAAACAACTTCATAAAAATAAGCAAACAAACCTTAAATTGTGTGTAAGTATGCATGGAGCTAAACATATCTGTCTGAATAAAACTTGGAGTTAAGCATATCTGTCTGAATAAAACAAATCAAATCAAACAAAAAAATCCATGAAAAGTTGCTTCAGTATCTTATTTTTTAAGAGTCCAACTTATCTATGTTGTAGATACTGTTGCCTTGTTCAAACAATAGGGGAAAAATCCAAACATTATTTTATACAACAGTGGTTATTATGGGACTGTAAGTACTTGCTCACCACCAGTGGTTGAAAATAGTGCAAATTGGAGCAGGTGCAAAGAATGAGCCTAAAATGACTGTATATTCAGGAAGCAGGAAAACTTTGAAAGGTCCTAGGTGGTTTCATCACCCAGAATCTTGCTCTTTAAGAGATTTGGATTTATCTAATAAAGACAAAATAGAGCTGGTTTCCTCAGAATATCTGATCTTGATCTCCATTTCATTTTTTTTCTCCCTGGAAAGAGAAGGAAATTCATACTGTTGCTAAATCATCTGGTTACAAAATGGAGATGGAAATGGACCTTCCAGGAATGGAAAGATCTGTGTTCTCCTTAAATGGGATATGACTGAGATCTGTTTCACAGGAAATATGTTCTTACCAGCTGATTTTGAAGATGGTTGGAATAGCTCCTGCCTTTAGACAAAACCTTTGTTCTGCCTCTTTGGTGTTGGCTTTTGAGTGGTTGATCTGACAGAGAACAAAAGACTCTTTGTGAATGGCTGGAAATAACTCAGCATCGACTCTAGATTATTTGTAACCATACACTGCCTGCAAAGACTTCTGAAGGACAGAAAGACGAGTCCCTTGTTCAAAGATGAAAAAGTGAGGCCGTTTCCTTCAGGTAGTTTTTTTTAAGACATGTGGCTGGCAGACATTTGGGGAAACCAAGGTAACTGTTCTCAGTTATGCTGGACTAGCTTTTCATTCCCAGCTAAACTGTACCTCAGTAGGAGTCAATTAAGATGTAGAAATCTGAAATGCCTACGGGAGTGAAATCCTTTGTGTAGGATTCATGTACATGGACCTCCAAATACCACTTTTCCAAACCTTCCTTCTTACTTATTGGAAATCTCAAAAACATCTGATTCTGATTTGCTGTAGCTGGATCTTCTTACAGGTGAATATTGATGGATTTCTTAATCCTGATTTGGAAATATCATGCTCTGCAAAAATAACATTAATCACCAGGTGATTGTGGTTGTGTCCAGCTCATATGTCCCATCTTTGAGGGGATATTCTTGGATGTCAAACACTGTTTCATCCTTTCCATCTGGAGTGCAACATTTTATGACTTAAGTGCAGCAGAATAGACCAAGCCAGCAAGGCAAAGGGGTGTTCACCCACCAGTCTCTTTTAGAAGGGCACTAAATGACAGGCTCAGAACCGAGGAACGTAGACTTCTGGAATGCCTCCGCTTGGTATCACTGTGACTGTGGCAAGGAAGACTTTCTCGGAAGCCTTTCATATTGGTTGCTCTACGCTTTGGGATCCAAGGCTCAGGGAGACTGTTTTCTTATGGCAGAGAAAGCAGCCCAGTATCATCAAAAGTTAGCCTTTGTCTTGCACTGAGGCACTTCCCTTTTCATTTATGCTCTAGAGGGGGAAAAAATGGCAAAAACAGCACTGTCTAAATTGGTGATATGCCAAACAATACATCTTTTTTTAAAAAAAAAGGGAGGAAGAAAAACAGATATGAAACACTCCTCTGCAATTCTAATCTCAGGTGCCTTCTAAATATAATTTTTCTTCTTTCATTTCCAGACTCCTCCATTTAGCCTTGTCCAGCCTCTTTCCCATTGCAGCTGTCTGCTCATTAACCCATTCCTTTATAGAATGCATTCCACTGTATTTTCAAAACTTTTTTTCTGTTTCCCATATTTACTTCGGTATCTAGAATTCTGCCCAAATCATACATCCAGATCTGTTCCATAGCCACGTTAGATTCCCCACCAGACTTCCCTGAAAATAACCTCTACCTGGTAGTAGAGCTAGATGAGGTCCTAATTCCAGAAAATGTCTTTTTCAGAAGTTAAAATAGTTATGAATACCCTATTTCACCAAAGTAGTTCAGCTGTTGGCAGGCAATACCTTGCTTCTGGCCTTCTTATAAGATGCTCACCATTCCTTTCTGGCTGCTGCCGTCACCCTGCAGGTTGAGGAAAGGGTTTGTTTGGGCTGTAAGGACAGGTGGAATAACAGCTCCTGTTGCTGACATCAGGCTGTTCCCAGGGGCACTGAGCGGTGGGGAAGCCATCAATGAGCTGGCAGTATTAAGCTGTTGAGGGGAGATGGAGGCCAGGAGAGTACTGTTGGCAGCTGATGGTGCATTATTGCTGGAGTGGAGAAGGGATGTGGTGGTCACTGGGCCAAGGCCAGTCATTGAGGAACCAGTCATCTGGAGCCGCTGCAATTCTCGTTTGTGCTGAATTTGCTGAATCATCTGGAATATCAATGTCTGCTGCTCCTAAGAACCAAATGAACATGATCAGCTGCAGAAAGATTGTAGCAGCTCTCCCTCATATCCTATACCAGAAGAGTTAGAAAAAAAAACCCATGCCAAATACTGCTGTTCTTATGATATGTGCCTTATAGTATTTACTTGAGAACTGAAAAAAAATCTAAAGAAAAAGTGACCCAATGTTTTTGAAAAATGCTTCTATGAAAACAACTGCGTTTGTCTGTTTTGCCTGCTTGTGCACTGTATATTTTTTCTCTTTTTAATCATACCAAATACTGAAGGAGCTTTTGATACTAAGCAGAAGAGATGAGTCTGAAATGAGACATTATTTGTAAGCAATAGCAATAGCACTTACTTAAATACAGTTTCACAGTGCTTTACAGCCCTCTCTAAGTGGTTTTCAGTCAGCATATTGCCCCCCCCCCCAACAATCTGGATCCTCATTTTAACCGATCTCAGAAGGATGGAAGGCTGAGTCAATCATGAATCGGTAAGAATCGAACTCCTGGAGTGAGCCGTGAGTTAACCTGCAGTACTACATTCTAATCACTGTGCCACCACAGCTCTGATAAACTAATTAAATAGTTTATAAAAAAAAACATATTCAAGTCTTAAAAAAAGAAAAAAAGTCTTGATAATGAGGTAGGCAATTGCTTGATTAAAATAAGACAGATTTGTGCTGCAAACCTCTGAATTAGCACTACAGCAATCTTTAGCTCACTACTGCCCTCTACTGTTTGTCTAGGTTTCAGTTGCTCAAATCCACTCCTGTAGTTTTCATCAGAAAATCATGGTTTCTTTTTATATATATCCACAATCAGTGGTGGGATTCAAATATGTGAATAACCGGTTCTCTGTATGGATGCTGCTTCCGGAAGTCCATTCTGGGCCTGGGCAACAAAAAATTAGCTACTGGTCGGCTGAATCCCATCACTGCCCACAGTACAGGTAGTCCTCAAGTTACAAATGTAATGGAGGCTGCCCATTCCATTCGTAACTCAAAAACTCATAGGAGTGAATCTCGTACCTCGAATGAGATCACTCCCTGCGTGTTAAAATGCACACGGCTTGTTAAGGGAACATGAGGCAAAGGCCTCCCCGACTCGCTAAGATACTTCATGCTTCTCCCTCCCTTCCTCCAGCGCCAGACTTACCTTGAAAAGATCCGTCTCCTCTCTGCCATGCTTCCTGCTGCCGCCTGGATCTGAGGCCGGGGGATGCTTCTGCTTGCCTCCAGAGGCCAGATCTGGGCATCAGAGGCCTTTTCCAGGCTGCTGCTGCCTGGACATATGGCCGAGGGATGCTTCTGCAGCCCTCTGGAGGCCCGATCTGGGAGTTGGAGGCCTTTTCCAGGCTGCCGCCACCCGGATCTGAGGCTGAGGGACGTTTCCGTGGCCCTCTGGAGGCCCATTTCCAGGCGGCAGTGGCTGGAAAAGACCTCCGAAGCCTGGATCAGGCATCCAGAGGGCCGCAAAAGCATCCCCTGGTCTTAGATCTGGGTGGCAGCAGCCTGAAAAAGGCCTCCAGCGCCCAGATCGGACATCTGGAGGGCCACAGAAGTGTCCCCTGGCCTCAGATCCATGTGGCAGTGGCCTGGAAAAGCCCTCCGGCGCCTGGATCAGGCATCCGGAGGGCCGTGGAACAGAGGCCTAAAGTACCATTAGATCACGTGAGATCAGTAGTGTGAGATCTCGCTCCACTGATCTTGCATGATCTTGCATTACTTTAGGCCTCCATTCTCTGCAAACGCACCAAAGGCCTGGAGCAGCCAAGAAAGCAAAGGATCTTGATCTTCGCAGGGTGATTATTGAAGGCCTAGCGCCTAGGCAGACCAGGGGTGGGGAGGAAGGGAATAACCAGGGTGAATATTGCAGTGCGGTTGCTCGTAAGGGTGAACGACTGCCGTGGTGCCACAATTTTCGTAACTTGCTCATAAGCACTAGGGGGTGCTTATCGCGTAACTTCAAACACTTGCTAAGGGAACGCTTGCAACTTGGGTATTATCTGTATCTGCTCCCCATCATTATCTGGCAACTACAAGGAGATGGGAAATGTCTGCTCTGGCTTTCAAAGGAAATTCTTTTTCACTGAACATGGAAATTGGATTTTGTCTGAAGCCCAGACACCAAGGGAAGTAAGAACAGCAGTCTGGTTCTAATTTGTTCTGTGATGTTGACAAAACATTGTCTTCTTTTGAAAACCCTATACCTCAAGTTGATGCCTTGCTGTTTTAGTTAGTAGTTGTTCCTCAGCAGTTGACTGATGAAATGTTACTTACCGAGTTGAGTGGCTGCGATGTTAAGAGCTGCTGCAGTTGCTGCAGTTGAAGCTCAGGCTGGCTGAGCAGCTGGCGCTGCTGCTCTGAAAAGTGAGTCACACTAGGCATACTGGAAGAAAGATGACAAAAAGAATAGGTCAGTCTGTGTGACGCAGCACTGCTGCAAAAGACAAATTGAATTCCACAACTTCAGAATTAAAATGTTGCAGGGGAGGGGGAGGGGGAGGAAGGGGCTTGGAAAGCTTGCTTATTTCTCTTGTGCTACCCAATCTGGTTTATTTAAGCATACCTCCTCCTCCTCCTATCATTATCATCATCATCATCATCATCATCATCATCATTGATCATCGCACAGTCAGCCAGATGTTCAGACTGGATTTGGCATTTTGTCTACCTATCGAGTCCTTACCAAGGACCTGGGATAGGCAGATGTGGATTTTGATGGTATTACAGATATCGTCACAGGATGGAGGCAGTTCCTAGTAAGGCCGCCTTTTGCAATTGACTAATGGCGAATTTGTCAATGCCAATGGCGTTCAAGTGGTGCTCCAGTTGTTTTGGGATTGCACCCAAGGCGCCTATTACTATTGGTACTACCCTTGCTTGCCTTTGCCACAGTCTTTCTATTTCTATTTGTAGGTCTTTGTATTTTGTTATCTTCTCCAGTGCTTTCTCGTCTATTCTGCTGTCTCCAGGCACTGCCACATCCATCATCGTCGTCGTCGTCGTCGTCATCATCATCATCATCATCATCATCATCATCATCATCATCATCATCATCATCATCATCATCATCATTATTATTATTATTATTATTATTATTATTATTATTATTATTATTATTATTATTATTATTACCTCTGCCATACTAGAAGCCAGAATAGTAGGGTTCAGGCTATATTTTAAAAATAATTTAAAATACTTTTACTTATACATGTACACCCTTCCCCAAATACCCAACACTTATAAAGGTGAAGCAGATTGGCTAATGCTGATCCCCCTTGTCCTGTTAGATCGACCAGCTGCTTTTGACCTCATTGACCATGCTACCCTAATAGAATATGGTTTTGCAATAGTTCTACTACTTCCTACATGAGTAATTCTGGTCAATGAATGGGCAGGGGAATCAATATTCAAGCCTGTATCCTTTTATATAATATGTCATAGGACTTGACCTTTATCCCTTTGCTAATTAACACATTCATGAAGCTTCAGGGAGAGGTCACCTATGAGCTAGGGTGAGGTATTATCCATATGCTACTGTCGCCAGTTCTACTTCCCATTCAGAGCCAAGTACAAGCTGTTGTGGAACTGTTTACTCAGTGTCTGGATGGGCTATAAGAGTCTGGATGGAACAAAACAAGTGGTGGATAAATCGCAACAAGCAGTTGTTTGTCCAGTAGCTGAGCAGTTATTTGTCTAGTAGTAGTTATGTGGTGATTGAATGCTCCCCCTAGCATTAGAGAGGGTCACACTGTTCCTGAAGAAGCAGGCCTGCAATTTGGAAATGCTACTGATTCTTAGCTGTACCCAGATGAACAGATGGAATTGGAATCAGCCCAATTGGCTGATCCCCCCCTTGTTCTTTGAACAAGATACTCTGGCGTCATGCTCCCGCTCTCATTATCTCCATATTGGTTTACTGGGTCTCTCTTAAAGCCTGTCTGGTCTTGAAGTTGATAAAAATGTAGCAGGCCACATGCCGAGGGGTGCAAGCTAATTGCAATGTCAAGCCTATTTTACGGGTGCTGTCCAGGTATTAATACCTTTGACTGATAAAGCCAAAAAGAGTAAAGCTTCAAGATATCTAGGTGACCATACCCTCCAATTTGAACCTGGCCAGCCTGACTATTCAGTTTGGGAGGCAAAAGGATCCCAGAGGTCTGGACTCAATGCCTCTCTCTCTTCTACTCTTTTCACCTTCTAAAATATACTCCTCATGATATATTATTGGCTCCTTTCTTTAAATTGCTGTTTGGAAAGGACTTAAAACACAGTTTTTCCAACAGGTGTTTGAGTATGAAGCTCACACTTTTCTTATTCTGCCAGCATGGGTTATTTTAAACTTACTGCCTTTCTGATTGTCATTACAATATGTGTGGTTCTTATTGTTCCTGGGGTTTTTTTTGGTTATAAACCACCTAGAAATATGTCATTATGCAGTGAAAAAATACCAGGAGTAAATAAAAATAAAGTGGAATAAGTCCCCGAATTTAAGGCAATTTTTTTCCCTTAAAATCTGCCTCCTAGAAACTTGGCTTCTTTCTTATGGTCTTCCCTCTTTCTTACAGAGCCTTACCTGCTTTGGCTCATGGACAGCTGCAGACTGGGTGGACCACTGGTTTGTGCCAGTATTGGATTCTGGGTCTGGGTGGCCAAAGTGCCATTTAAACTTCCTAGGATGCCATTGATGGGGATCTGTTGTCCTCCTGCCAGACTGCCAAGGAGACCATCCACAAGGCTGTGAGTAGCTGTGGCACTTCCCCCATGAACAGTCCCCATGGCTCTGCTCAGGCCATTCATTGGTGGTGGTGGTGGCTGCTGTTGGACCACAGTAGTTAGAGGAAGTGGGGCAGGGCTTTGCTGCAGCAAGGGGAGAGGTGGAGGTGTGCTGTGGAAGGACAGAGAAGAGCTGCTTCTGCTTGGGCATCCTGAATGAAGGTCCTGGAAAAAAGAAAGAAAGAAAGAAAGAAAGAAAGAAAGAAAGAAAGAAAGAAAGAAAGAAAGAAAGAAAGAAAGAAAGAAAGAAAGAAAGAAAGAAAGAAAGAAAGAAAGAAAGAAAGAAAGAAAGAGGATGGAGGGAGGATCATTTTCAGCAGTTTTTATACACACACACACACACACACACACACACATATACATACATACATACATACATACATACATACATACATACATACATACATACATACAAATTTCACCAATAAATTACCAAAATCAAATTATACTATAGCACAGGAATTAAGAGTTTTGTTTAAAGAAACAAAGAAGATAAAAACCTTAGGCGTTTGAACATTGTACCCAGTACTTCAGGACTCAGCAATTTAGGCTCAGAACACAGATGCAAACTAAAGAGAAATATGACAGGTGGGACCAAGCTTCTGTCATCAGAATTGGCCCAATATATTCTAGTGTTTGAGCTGGGCAAAGCCAATGGAACATTACCTGGGAGAACAATGCACCGATATTTCAAGTGGACAATTTATGTGCAAATATAGTACCAATGTATTTCAGTAACAGGTTGCACACTCTTCTCAGTCATTGTGCTTTGGCTCTGCCAGAATAGTCTCACCCAGTGGCATTCAGAATGCATGAACCATGATAGTCTGCTAAGTGATAACGAAGACCTGAAAAGGAATGCCTCTTACCTCAGAGGAAGTGGACAGTGTATTCTCGATACCAAAACTATTCTTGCATGGAGAGCTCTTGCTGATACTCAGTGAATCACTGTTGCAGGCTAGAGGGGAAGAGAAAGAATCAAAAGGACATTTTGTTGTTTCCCTGAGCATCTTTTCAGTAACGAGTTAGCACTGCACTAATTCAAAAGGTTTTTCTCTTGGTCACACTATATTATTTCCCGGGGAGTTCCCGGGGTTCTGTCTGGACCACATTTTAGTTTTCAGTTTTAAAATGTATTTGCTAATGATCTATTGAATTTTCCTATATTGCAAAGAAGTTCAGAACAGAGGATAAAATTCGCAAAACATTGTAGTCATAACAATAACTCTAAAAACAAATCCATTAGAAACAGCACATAGCAAAAGTACATTTAAAAAAGGAACCAGCATCAACCATCCCTAGTGCTAATGACTCAGAAGCTTTTGTCTGATGTTGGTCAGATGTTGTCAATGACGCCTCTTTCAAGAATCAAAAGCCACTGCAGTTAGGTTTGCTTACTGTTAGGAGCTAGGATGTATTGGGTCTGGCTTGAGGGGCCATTGCTGGTGGTCACCACTTGGAAGGGAACAGAGAGCTGAACGTTTAGAAGCTGCAGGCGCTCCTTTTTAGCTGCCAAAGTCATAATCTGCTCCTGAAGGCGCTGGTTTTCTTTCTGTAGTGAATGAAGTGCCTTGAGCATCTCTACGACTACAGGAAGTAGAAGGGGGAGAAGGAAAGGAGAGAAAGTTGAGAATGGAAAATGGAAGGGCAACAATGTTAATACAATTAAAATACATATGAAATGGGGGAGAAAGGATTTACAAGAATATTTAGTCATTAGGGAGTCATCGTAATGGCCATTAGCTTCAAAATGACCAGCATGACCTGCCAATCAAATTCCCAGTCATTTTTAATGCATTGTATGCATGTAAAAAGGAACATGGCTTTAATTACCTTAATGTGCTAAACATGTTTTTTTTGGCTTCTTTTTAATAAGCAATATATATATAACATTGTGCTAATTATACCTGCTATATAATTATCTCAAAGTTTTTCCATTGCTAAAATTTAGGGGAAAAAACCCAGTAAAGTATAACAGGTTCCAGGAATGTTAAATTTAAGCAAATGTAACAAATATAATGTTAAGTCTAAACAAAATTATATTATAATGGAATACTTACATATTTTACAGTCTAATTAATCTGACTGCATATACTTGTCTGTACAATGTTTATATTTAGGAGTAAAATAAAATGAAAAGTCTGAAAAACTACATTCATACTAATTGAAGAGGGTCCAAAGAGCTGCACCTTAAGTGTATCTCAGTTTCTACAGGTTATTCCAGCTTTCAACAGCCTACAATGATTAAGAATTTAGGGAGTAGCTTAATGCAATTAGAAACTTCTAAGCTGATAAAGAGAGTATAAACTTCTTCTAATATTCCATCTATGAGTTTGGTCAACATGTTATGGACACAGTAGAGCCATACATATTGAACAGGTAGCAATCTCTACCCCTTTGATGGAAAGAAAGAAAAGAAAATCAGAGAGACAGGACGATGAGAGAGCGAGCACATGGGTGAAGCCTGGAGTTATACATCTAGACCTCTTCCATATATTGATTGAACACATGACCAGAAGGTGTATCTACTATCATCTAGAAAAAAGTATAATCAACTGTTGGATTTTTTTTATTCTGATATCAAAAAATGTCCATTGGGAAAAAAATATAGCACAGGGTTTCCCCCAATCTTTAGAATTATTGTTTCAAAAAAGAATTCAGAGAAAAGTTTATTCCATGGGAGTGGGAAGATTTGAACTCATCTTCCCAGTCTCTCACTTTGATCTACTAGCTGCCAACCACAAATCTCCCATTGAGGTTAAATTATAAATCCCAGATCTCTACCTAGTATCCATAATGGTCAAGCATGATGGGAATTGTAGCAAAACTAAGCACTCTCTTCCTTCCTTCCCATGACTGGTAGAAAACATCTCAACTGGCAGAAAGGACTTAACCCATTAATATTCACATTAATATTTGGAAGAATGATCTTAAACAGTTTTCTTTAAGGACAATCTCCTGGACTGTATCAAGTTACCATTTTCCTCTGCCTTGTGATGGAACAGTCATGGGGAAGGCTGCCCCACTGCAGAGGTTAATGGAGGGTACTATAGAGGCTTACTTGACAAAGGCTTTGCCTCTCTTTGGTTGCCTCAGTGTTCACCACAAGGGCACAGCTGTGCTGTGCAAGCTAAAAGCAGCCTTCCACTACCCATTCTGCAAAACCCAGAGCATCCCTACAATAAATAGGATCAGAATTTTTAGTTTATTGTTTTCATGGGTTTGTGGGACTGTGGCCTTAAGCTCTGCAGCATTAGAGACATTGCCTAATTCACTCCCTAGCCCCTGTCAGACTAGGGGGCCTATTTTTCTGTCTTGGTGGAGTTTGGGAAAAAAGTCCCTGCAAAACCTCTGAAAGTTTCTTCCAAAGGGCAGAAAAATCATGTCTCTGCTCCATCCAATGACACTCTTAGGTTGGTCCACCACATTTTTTGCAGCCCTCAAAGACTATTTTAAAAAAATGTGGCCAAAGACCAACAAAATCGCACATCCTTGCCTTAACCCATTGACCCCTTTCATAACTCACTATTGACACCAGCTTCTCCATTGCCCTGTTTCTCCAGGAGCTGCTCAATGTTTGGTGTGGCCTGGGGGACATTTTCCAGCTGTCCACTGCTAGTTGATACAGTCTGGTCAAAGAGAGTGGGGAGGCTGCTGATGGGAGACCTGTTATGGTGCAGGACAAAGCATCATTAATAATCAATGTTCTTCTTCGTTTCATAATAGCTGCTTTATGTTTGGAAGGCCACAAAAGTTGGGGGGTCAAGGCAGAGACACAGAAAAGCTAAATTCTGAGAATAAAGTATACAATGCTGATTCTGCATAGGGTTTGCAGGTATTTTATTATTATCAGCCATAGGAAAAAGCTACCCGTCTCCTCCTTTCAAGAATATCCTTAATTATTATCTGAGGCTGCTTTATTTCAATTATCTCAGCCTACCAGCCTATAAATTTGGTCTCTTCTTTTATTTGATATCTATGATTCTCCAGATGCTGCAGTCTTCTCCAATAGCAAGTTTCCTGGTTACAGAAGTAAAAAAATATATAGATAATTCCAGCTACCAAGATAAATTTACACTCCCTTCTTCCACAAGAAAGTATGTGTGTGTTTGCATGTGTGATACAGGAAAGACAGAAACAATCACACCCAAGAATTCAAGAATTCAAGGACAATAAAACTACAACATCTTTTAGGAAAAGTACATATAGCCATTTAGATTTAACTAAAGCTTTCAGAGTCATGACATGTAACTTAGTACTAAAGACAAACTTTTATATGCAAAGAATTTGAAACCCATAACTGAATTGAAGATCCCAATGGAAACTCACCTTTGATTACCTCCAAATGTTCTTCATTCTACCAGCATAATTTAAGGTAAGAGCGGGGCACTTATCAAACACTTGCTATTTCAAATGATTAAGAATTAGAAATATTTCCTGTTCTATTGCAGATAATACAAAGTTCCCCTAAATATTCAGATGTATCTTCTCCCCATCCTTGCAGTTCAGATGTTATTGGGTACACAGAAAGCAATGTGAACATAGCTTGGTAAATAAGCCACAAAAGTGTTGAGCATACTAGTATCTCACATCCTTACGATAAACCCAGCGCTTAATGATAGGGTTATGATCTGACTGTATCAATTTCCTCCTTTGCCTCTGATAATGGTGTTCTGATTTTGCTTACGCAGTTAAGTTAAAACCTGGGGTTTGGTAATTTTCCCACTATTGTATATGAATGTTATGAATTGGTGGAAAGTCATAAGCCAATCATAGTATTGCTGGGATAAGAGATTTTAATTAACCGATTACTCTGGTTAAAGAAAAGACTTTGTTGAACTTTATTTGCACTTGGAAACTACTGTTGGATTTCCTGCTAGAAACTGAAAGAAATGAAAATTTAATTTTGGGATTCAATGATTAGAACTGTTTATGACTATAGAAATGTTATGATAGCAGTGTTCCAATATCTCAGGGGTTGCCACAAAGAAGAGGAAGTCAAGCTATTCTCCAAAGCACCTGAAGGCAGGACAAGAAGCAACGAATGGAAACTAATCAAGGAAAGAAGCAACCTAGAACTAAGGAGAAACTTCCTGACAGTTAGAACAATCAACCAGTGGAACAGCCTGCCTCCAGAAGTGGTGAATGCTCCAACACTGGAAGTTTTTAAGAAGAGACTGGACAGCCATTTGTCTGAAATGGTATAGGGTTTCCTGCCTGAGCAGGGGGTTGGCCTAGATGACCTCCAAGGTCCCTTCCAACTTTACTATTATTATTATTGATTTTAGAATAAGAGGTTAATGTATTTTATATATGTATCTACTGAAAAAGTTGGAAATTATTCTTCTCCGCCCCCTTTTTCTTTCCTGTTTTGCTTTCCCTCTTTGAAGTTCTGATTTTGCTTTTTCTTTAATCTCTTTTTTCCTAATCCCTGTTTTTTTTTTTTGTCTTTTTGCCTTTTATCTTTTGCTGAAATCTAATACAAATATTTTTTTAAAAAAAAACCTTCCTGCAAAGCTGATAGGTGAGATGAGGTGAGGTGGAGTATTGTTTGGTAAGGCTGGAGAGTTAAGTCACCCTGCTTATCTCTGGTCTAAGCAGGCTTGTTTTCAGAGCAGTTTCTTTCTGGAGTTTTGAAAGAGCAATAAACTTGCGGTCAAAACAAGTGAACTATTTGGTGATATGGAAGGACTGCCTGGTAAAATTCCCTGCTTTACTATATTGCTCCCCCAGCTGCCAATTAATAGTTGGGCTGCAAAAAGCTCCCAATGTGGAAGGAAAAAAAATAGGATAGTCTAAGAATTATAGGGAAAAAGACATCTCTTTACTGTCATATATTTCTGATTAAGCCATCGTCAAAATAGTTGGTGAAACACATCAGCTTTTTTTTTTTTTTACTCACCTTGCCATTGTTATAGATTGCTGCTGGTTTAAGAGGAAAAGCACTACTTTACAATAGCTAAAAACGTTTTTAGCCTCTTTCGGGCTGAGGGCAAGAGAAAGGCAATGTCACGGGGAAGTGGAAGAATAAAGAGATTGTTATTTGTAGTATGCTTAGATACAAGGGGGAAAACCAGAATCTAATTGATGGATGTTCTTCCTACTGGCTGGTGAACATGATTGCATGGGGGTGGTGACCAAAGTCAGAGGAGAAAATGAAACATCTTGCTTCACTTACCAAGCAAGTAGTACATGCATAAATTGAGACAACACCATTCAGGAATGACTTGGAACAAATACAGTGCAGGCAGGAAAGGAATTGGTAAAATGGCAACAGCAGATGCTTTGCTTTATGCTTCCTCGTTGCTTTTTACTGATTCTGGGTTGGGTGAAGAGCATTTAACTTAGAAAGGTTCTAAGCTAACAAGAGTCAGGAAAATTTCTATGGCAAGAAACAAGAACATTCAAGTGGCTGGTAGTCCAACACCTATGGACAGATGGCTAAATTAGGGTTTGAAGAAATGTGGAAAACAGTTTTTTTTAAAGTAAACTGATATTGCTTTCTCTGCTCTCTAGTCTATTAGGTGAAACAGCCCTCTTTCTGATCTCATCCTATCCTTGACATTCCATTACTGCCTTCCACATACACTTTTGGTAAAATAAACTTACATGGAAGAAAGACTTTCTTGGGGTGATGACCCTCGGCAGGCAAAATTGCAGTCTTCCAAATCTGGTTCTGGAAGTGGAAAGACAAGGAGTGATTTTTTTTGTTTCAACTTAGACAACTGTACCCCCTTCCCTCTTTCCAGTTCTTACAAAAGATTTATATTTTTGTAAGTATACTTTTGTAAGTGCCCTCTAGATGTATTGGACTTCAACTTTCATAATTTTCAGCCAGCATGGTCAAGCATGTCCTATCATTCATCTGCCTTTTTTCTGATTCCTTCAGTACATCTTGCCAGAGGAAAAACACAAGACTGATGACATCTTATGTCACATGTCCTTAGAAAGGATAGCTGAACAAGCAATGAGGTAGAGGAATAATATGGCCATATAGCACTGGCTACTGTTGGCAAATGTCAAGGAACAGTCCTTAGGAGCTACCTGATTGTGTTTACCTCTGCATCCCACAAAATTTAAGATTGTATAACCTGAATATGTCAAATTATGGCTCCAGGAAGTGTCTCTCCACAAATCTTATTTCCCCAAATCTCCCTCTTTCCAAGCTTTATTTACATAGGAATATATAATATTTATGTAATTAGTATTTTACACTATTACTATGCTTATACTGCTTTAAAATGGAAATCTTCTTCCTATAAAGCTCAGTTTTATTGTGTACCTCTCTAGGCTTGCCTCTACCAAGGTTTCAAGGGATGCTGTTGGTTTCATGTGCCAGCAGAGGGCAGGCGTGTGCAACCACTGTCAATCTGCAACATGTCTCATTTTCCTGGCACTTGAGCATGGCCTGCTGGATTGACTTTCATAGGAGCCTCAGGTCATGTTTCTGACACTTGGCTACTATGGTAGTTTTGAGCTGTATATTAAAATATATATATCTGGGGGACATCAGGTTGTTTGCCGTGTGCTGCACTGAGTTGCCAGAGAACTTGTTCTTTGTAAAGTATGTGTTTTTCAATAGAGAATAAATTTGTCTTGCCCCTCACTCCCAAACTGCCTTTGCTTTGACACATGGAAAGATCTCAGGATCTTCTCAGAAGCAGGAAAGAGAAGTAAATATGTAAATAGAGCTGATTTTTGGAAGGCCATTTTCTAAAGAGATCCATGCTTGCATATAACTTTTTTTTTTAAATTTCTGTACCTGTTCTGTTGTTTTCAGATTGGTTGAGCAAAGGATTTAATGATAGTCCAGAGGTGAGGGGACTTCCAAAAATGTGTGAGGAAGGGAGGCTAAACGTGGATCCTGCCAGTGAGAAGACCTGTGAAAATGGAAAAAGACGAAGAAGAGAAGAAAAACTCAATCATTTTGTTTTAAGAATAGTGTCTTCTCTCCTGCTTTTCCAAAAGTCCTTCATAATGCTGAAAGGATTATCTCTTAGTGGAGAAGCAGCCAGTTGATACATTGCCTGGAAAGGATCCAAAACATTAGTTTCATTTTACTTAAGGGACACAAGCTCACTTTGTTTTAAAATGAATGTTTATTTAAATGATTTTGGGTTTCTTTTCAGCCAAAAATGTGGGACGAAACTTGGCTCTGCCCATCCTTTGTCTGGAGTAAATGTGTACAAATAAATGTATGCTAGTAAATGCAAAGCCAAAAGCAATAGCTCTAGCACACCCTGGATTGTCTGGATTATATCACTGAAGGAGGAGGAGGATAGTCATTTCAAAGAATAATCACATGCATATATTGCTTTATGTTTCATTAGAAGGTGACACAATGCTAGGAACCTATGCTTGAAACCTGCCACTGGCAAAAAGAGTTGATTCAACAGAATAACAAACACCTGAAACAATCTACCTGAATAGCCTCTTTTTTTAAACTTGCTAAGATAATACCTTTGTTTAGTGGTATAATTTAAAAACTGTCATTGAATTTTGTGGGATTGGTGCTGGTAGACACTGGAGGACGTGCTCGGTAAACAATTGATTATTTAATTACTAGATTTATATCCTATATTTGTTTTTTACAAGTGTACATAAGGGTTCCACCTCAATCCTGTGAGCTGGTTTACCCCTGAAGTTTCCAGCTGGCTTCTGTGCCTCTGGGACGATTAGGACTCAAAGTCTTCTAGCTTCTAACCCTAGCACCACAACTATTACCCCAAACTAACTCAGCATATATGTATGGATACCCTTCAATAATAATATTCCGTCACCCCCGCCAGACCCACGTAAGTGAAAGAGATGCAGCCCTCAAATCTGAAAAGCTTGATCATTCCTAGTTTAAGAGAAGCATTCATGATCTATTTTTTATTAATAAAACACAAACACAGTTCATCAGTTATGCATGGTTACTTTCTGTTTCATATTTTTTAATAAACATATACAAATACATTATCACTGAAAAAGTAGGGTGGTCTTATGAGTAATTCTCAAATTATGAGTAATTTGAGAAAAGATGAAGCCTCTCTTCAGTCCTAAGACATGTCATAAATGATTAGTGACTGATGTTTAAAGACCTTACCTGGGTAGTAGAGACGGAGGAAGAGGAGGAAGATGGGATGGTGCCAGCAAAAGGTGAGCGGGTGAGCTGGGGGAGTGATGAGGTGCCTTGGTGAGCCAGAAGATTAGAGGAGAGGGGAGTGCTGCACACGGTCCTCAGCATCCCGCCCCCATGAGAAATGGGATCCTTGTTACTGGTATAGATCCCTGTATGAAAAATATTAATGTCGGGCTTGAGACAAAACCATCAAGAAACACCAAGAAACAAAAAAAAAACCAAACAAACCCCCCCCCCCCCATCTGTTAAGAATTGGCCTGGAGATGTTGTTTCATTTTCCTTCCTTCTTTCTGTCTGGAGGGACTACATCTTTGCTTTACTCCATCACCTTTGTGAAACAATTCCATCAGGGCCTGCCAATGTTATTCCCAGTTTCTAGAATATGATCAGCTGAGATTAGACTCTTTCAAGGTATAATTATTTCATATTTCCTTATTTACTTGTTCATTTGTTTGTAAAATATATTGCCACCCATCTTACCATGGGCTAATTCTGGGTGGATTACAATATTAAAAAAAAACTGTACAAAACCTAGATCTCGGAGTCCTAGTGGACAATCACTTAAATATGAGCCAGCAGTGTGCTGCAGCTGCCAAAAAAGCCAACACAGTGCTAGGCTGCATTAACAGAGGGATAGAATCAAGATTACGTGAAGTGTTAATACCACTTTACAATGCCTTGGTAAGGCCAACTGCATTCAGTTTTGGTCATCATGATGTAAAAAAGATGTTGAGATTCTAGAAAGAGTACAGAGAAGAGCATCAAAGATGATCAGAGGACTGGAGGCTAAAACATATAAGGAACGGTTGCTGGAATTGGGTATGTCTAGTTTAATGAAGAGAAGGACGAGGGGGGACATGATAGCAGTGTTCCAATATCTCAGGGGCTGCCACAAAGAAGAGGGAGTCAAGCTATTTGTCTGAAATGGTATAGGGTTTCCTGCCTGAGCAGAGGGTTAGACTAGATGACCTCCAAGGTCCCTTCCAACTTTATCATCATCATCTCATCATCATCATCATCATCATCATTTAAATAAAATACTATAAAAATCCAGTTACTAAGCTCTAAAAAGATGGGGAGGGAGGAGAGAATTGGATGAGAAGGAGGGGAGGTGGGATGTGTTATTAATCTATCAGCCATCCCCAATGTTCCAGTTGGTTTATTGTGTGTTTTGGACCTGAGAACAAAATTGTATTGCCCTATGTAGCATTACTCTATATAAATATAAAAAATATGCTACTGTCATTCTTAGCTCTCAAGAACTTTGTGATTTGGATTTTGATGTACAAACCCTTTTCTTCACTGTCCCTTCACATTTTTTTTTTAGGTATTATGTCTTTTAGCAAATAAGCTTGAGGGTCGTGATTGACCCTCTACAATGATAAAGTGTTTTGGGAACTATTTGGATAAAAAGTAGATATATATTACCAGGATTTAGGATCATATTGTTTTTTCAGATATTGCTGAAAAACATTAGCAACTCTAAAAGTGATCATGCTCATGGTATTGATCAGGAGCAATGGGATGGAAAAGTCATATGATCTCCACTTATTCCTTAAGTTAACAAACTGACACTTAGAATAGTACTCATGACATCATTACCACAAATTATAACTCTTAACCATATCAAAGACCAAATAAGGTATATAGTCTTGAGGGTGATTAGAAGCACTCTTGCTTTTATCATTCTTAATGAGCTAAGCTGTCTCTTTGATTAAGATCCAAACAAAATTATTCTGCAAGTATGAATCAAAAACAAGGTGCATATAGTACTGATTGACCACCCAAGATATCACTAAGAATGATGAGCATCTCTAGGTAGTTTTCCCAAAGAAAGGAAAAATTGCAGTATAGGATATGATTATTATTTGCACACACAATGCATATCACCACAATCCTGCCTATTTTCTCTTGTGTGGGCTTTGTTGCTGAATACCGTTCCATGACAAAGCAATGCTGTTCTGATGACTTCACCTTTTGGCTTCACCTGGTTTATCAGCAAGAGGATCCCATGTTTTAAAATTAGAATACAGGTAGTCCTCAACTTACAATTCATTTGGTGACCATTCGAAGTTACAATGGCATTGAAAAAAGTGACTTATGTCCATTTTTGACACTTATGACCACTGTAGCATCCCCATGATCAAAATCTGGATGCTTGGAAATTGGTTCATATTTACGACAGCTGCATTGTCCTGGGATTACACGATCAACCTTTGGGACCTTTGACAAGCAAAGTCAATGGGGAAGCCAGATTCACTTAACAACAATGTTCCTATCTTAACAACTGCAGCGATTTAACAACCATGGCAAGAAAGGTCATAAAATGGGGGAAAAACTCATTTAACAACTGTCTCACTTAATAACAGAAATTCTGAGCTCAATTGTCGTAGGTCGAGAACTACCTACATAGGATGCTGCCTTACAGCAAAGTCAAACCAGTCTCTCCATCGATCTGCAACTCTCCAGGATTTCAAACTGGAGTTTTTCCCAGTCCCACCTGGAGATGTCAGGAATAAACTTTTTGCATGAAAAGCACACAATGTGTCTCTGAGTTAAAAGGCTTTCCCTTCATCTTGGAAAAATGGTGAACATTCTATAGCAATGGAATCTATATGGGCTGTCTTTTTCTATTTTTTTTAGCAAGTATATATATTTGGCATTTGGAGCGCACTTTACTTTCACATTATTCATAAGCTGTTTTAAAAAAAAATAATAGAGATAATACAATTTTTACATTATTTGAATTGTAAACTTCACAAATGTTCTGGAAATTTCATGTTCATCTTTGAAATTGCATTTTCTGTATCTGATTGCATTTTAATTGAAAATGACTTATCATTTCAATAATATTGGTTACTTAGCAGCATGAATAGCAGGGCTATCCGGATAGATATGTCTAACTTTGAGATATGATATCTTAGGTCTGTTTTGTTTTTTTTCAATTCTGAGAAGCAAGAAAATTTCTTCTCAGCTATGGCCTAAATGGTTAAAATCCAAGAATACTGTCTAGGTTTTAAAACAATTTGATATCAGTGATGGGCTAATGAAAAAAAGAAAAGTTGTTAATGCTCTGAGACAGATGTTCTCCTGGTCAGACAAATAACAAATCAAGGAAATGTTGGACCTTCCATGCTTTTCTTCCCCCATGGAATGCAATTTATAGAGTTCTTCTTCTATCTCCTTAAGATTCTGTGCGGTTTCTGCCGATCTTGAGAAGCTGAACTATTAGTTCTCGGCAGAAGCACTTATGGGGGCAAAAGAAGTAATGGAATGGTGCATTGCGATGGTGTGATCCAAATCACATGCTTTATATACAAAAAGTTGAGTTTTGTATCTTGAGATACGCACAATCAAATTTTTTTTTTGTTTATCCTAGGTACATATGGATATTGGCTTAATTCCTGTTCTTGGAAATCTGATCAAGACCATTTTGCAGCCTCTTCTATGGAGCTGAGGGAGAGCAATTGCTCATTGGCAGGGATTCCTTCATTATGGTCCCTGTAATTCCTCCCCTCCATCTGTAGCTAAAATGCTCTGAGGGCCTTGCAATATTTGCCCCCGCCCCTGCTTCTTAGTTGCTCCAAATCCTCCTCATAAAAATAAATGAGGTAAAAAAATTAACAAGAGATTACTGTACTGGCCATTTTTTTGTGTGGATGGCTTTAGATGGCTCAGTAAGAGGAAGAAACCTAGGAAAGAGAATATTAGCAAAATATTCTCTCTCTCTTTCTTTAATTTTTTAAAAATCAGATATAAAGTTTTAAAAAACGTTATCCCTTTACTAAAGAGTATATATGAAAAATACCTACAACTACTTTTTTATTGGCTAAAAACCCCTGGATGGGCATAATAGTACCTTACAGAAAGAATAGGGACTAGCTCTTTTTAGTTTATAAAAGTTGAGGATCCAATATTATTGTTCATTCATGAGTACCAATTATCCCTTTACTCCATCTTACAGACATCCATACCAAGAATTTCCTATCTCCAGAGCTAAAGGCTGAGGTATGCATTGAACTAGATTCAAATCATATACGGGAAACTCCAAGTTTGATTTCATACCTTCCAAAATAAGATTTCCTTTTCTCTAGCAGAAGGTTGAGTATGCAATAATAAAATTTCTTAGATTTAATTGTACAGTGCTTTCCACTTTACTCTTTGGGAGTGATCTCCAATGAAGACAGTAACATCTGAATGAAGAATTGGTTATGTGCAGATTTTGTTCTTGCAGACAACAAACTGGAATACATGTTCTTTGGAAATTAGCTAAAGCTAAAACCTACTTTGACTATTAATTGGGACAGCAAACATTTATTCCACACACCTATCAATTATTCATACAGTTGGTCTAAAATAGAGCCTAAGCGGATGAGCTGTGAATAGAAGCTGCTCAACCATTTCTCCACTAGTGACTTGTAGCATCTTCTACAGTCATCTAACCATCATGGTGCCAAAGTAATAGCAGTGATATCATGCTTTAAATAATTTTAATGATGACTGGGTAATGCTATCAAAACAATGCAAATCGCTAGTGGAGGTACAATTGACATCTTACCTTCTCAAGTTCAGCCTCCCAGCTGCAATACAAAGGAAGTGATACTTAATTCATAAAGTTGTAATAGCATAATTGCAAAATAATGCTTGTTAAATTTGGAGATGATAGAATATTAAAAATATATTATTCATAATATGCTAATTATTATTTGGTATTAAATTCCTCCAGTTTAAATGCAGTATCAAGTATAGGGATTGTACAAAAGGTTATTCTTATTATTAGCATAATGACTGCCATTTTGCTTCTTACACTATGCTTGCGTTAGGAATGCCATTTTGTGAAGGCAGGAAGATCACGTACACAGACCCAGAGACAGGGGAAAGAGCGGGAAAGTAACGAAAGATGATTGGTTAACATTCTGTGTGACAACAAGTGTCACTTTGTGATTGGTTGTTATCTGTATATAAATAGAAGTGCCTAACTGACCACTGTGTGGCACTTCTGAACACAACTGCCAATGTTTAGGACAGTGTTCCACCCAACAACTTCAATTGGCCAAATAAAGTTCTGTATGACTTGGAAGCCTCCGCTTGAGTCTCCTGATTTGCCCTGTTGGAATCTCAAGTTCTTTGGATATCTGCTGACCCTTACACAAGAGGCAGCAATTAATGGAACAAAGTAAGAATCACAATGTTTGGAAACATTCTCAAAAAAGAAGATTTGTCAATTGGTGACAATTTTTCCTATTTTTTAAAAGATCTTGTCCAGATCCATTGGAATGAGGCTTGGCAATGGCTATCTATGATGACAAAAGGGGGAATTTGAAACTGTAAGGCATCTACATGCAAAACCCTTAAAAACCCTGAGGCCTAACTAAATTATGTGTCTGATAGAAAGACAGCAAATTACTTGAAGAAAAATGTAGATTTGGCCACCACTTCCTTAATTTTTAATTTGCAACCTATTCAAGCTACATTTCCCAACACTGCTAATCAGTAGTTTTCAGAGAAAACCTGTGTTAATATACTGTAGCAAAATCAAAATCAAACTTATAAAACATATTACAACACACTCTGTTAAGGAGTGCATTTTTTCAAAAGTCAGTGAGCTTCTTCCTGATGAATATCTTAGCCCATTTCTGTGCCGATGAGCATTTCCACCCAAAATTCTTCACAAAATGGTTTGAAACAGATCCACAGTTGAGACTGGGGGATACTTTCTGAATACCAGGAGCATAAGACAAACCCTTTAAATGCTGTCCTTACCAAACCTATTCCAGGGTGTACAAGTGAGGGAAAGCAGGAGAATAGGAAGATTATATGACCACATATTTCCTGTTGGGGAAGCAGCAACAGGCCTGACTCACATAAAGACATCTGACAGTTCCTTTTCAGGCTTACCTTTCTGGCCTGCAAAATTCCATGTGACCAGTATATGGAAGCAAAGAGTTTTCTGCATCTCTTTACTAATATCTGGCCATTGTCCAGATTTTTTGAAAGTCACATGCACTGAAAATTCTAATTCTTTATTACCAACAATTGCAATCCTCTTAATTTGCACAGCCCAATTATGGTAGCTGTACTTTACACTCAGAATTGTTGACGAAATGCACATGGAGATAACAGCAAGGGGAAACAGCCACCATTCTTTTCTTTTTTATATTTTGTTTCTAGAAACCCTACGTACAAAAATTCTTGAACACAGATGCTGAACCTCTATGCAAGGGTGGCAGAGATAAATAATTGCTCTCTTGGGCCCAGGAGCCAGGATAAAATGAGAATATTCACCCATGAGGGTATAGAGTACCCACAAGAGTTTTCCGATCTGCAGTAATTAAAAGGAAAATGTCAACTTGCCAATGGTTTTGAATAAAACTGCATCAATCAGAAATCCCAAAATAGATAAGACTGGGAGATCTGTGATGCAAAACACTGCTGTGAAAATCCTTTTGTCATTTTGTGTACAAATTTTTGTTGTTTCTGACTAAAAGAAGTATGCCTCTAAAATAGGGTGAATTAGTGTAACCAGAATGTGCTTCATTAGTCCAAGGACACCCAATTGAATTTGTGTCTAAGGCAGGACTAGAAATTATAGTCTCACTGTTTCTAACTTGATGCCTTAACCACCACATCAAGCCAGGTCTCTTACCTGTTATACAGAACCATGACTTTATATACTGAGCCACCCAGCAATTTTATGAAGGAAAAAACCCAATGTTCTAGCTGAAAGGGAACCCAATTTCCTACATTCTTACTACATTACTTACACAACAGAAAAGAGATTACTCTACTACATTATCTTGCACATTATGCCTATAGATTCAATCAACCGTCCCAGGTATTATAACCCACTGGTTCAGATATCTTAACTGAGATTGAGATACATTTCTTCTTAAGCACCTTCCACACCTCCTTCTCTGTCTGTACAGATTTGAAATAACTCTCCACTAATATTCTGTCCCTACAGTTGGCGGCTGCCTACACAGCAAACCAATAGGGCATTAAAAAAAAAAAGTAGAGGATGACACGAATTTGGCAAGCGGAAGAGCCCCTATCTTCACTTCCATTTAAATGGATCCTGGCATACTCATAGGATTTGTCTAATCAGAGTGCAAGTTTGGATGCTACTTCAGATGCAATGTCTGCATGCAAAAAATAGGTTTAAAAACAAGCCTTGGCCTACAGATTCTGTCATCCGAGAGCTAGTCTTCCTTGAAGGTTCTGCACTCAGAGTCCAGCGTAATGTATGTCAAAAATCAGGACTGTGGTTGTTGGGCGGACCCACCACACATAAAAAGCCTCTCTTTCTTTGAACACAATAGAGGGAGGGAAAAGAAGGGTGGGTGGGTGGGTGGAAATCTATTGCCAGAGGCTGAGATTATAGAAGGCTTGTGGTTTGTAACAGCTCCACCCTGGAAAATAATTACATCCTGAATTCTCTCTCCTTCTTTTCCTTGGCTCCTCCCCTGCCTTGAAGTAGAAAAAGTAAAAGGCTGCAGTCACTAGGAAACCAGAGAGATGCTAACGTCCAACTCTTCCCGCTTCCCTTTTTTCTTCTTCTTTCTTCTTTCTACTTACTGTGTGACCTGAATAGAAGTGTTTGGGAGCAAGCCAGATAGCGACAAAGCAGCTGCCAAATAAGCGAGCCATAACGTGCTCAGCCTTGGGGTTCTTTACTCTTAACCCTTTCTTGCAAAGTTCACAAGTAATCATCCCAAGAACAGGTGAGTTCATTACCTTAATGGTTTTTTTAATGTTGCTTTCTTTAGCTTCTCAAGGGTCAAGGAAATATGCTATTTCAAGTTACGTAGGGGTGTTGGAGAAGCAGCAGGCATTGCTTGAAAAAGATTAACAGCAGTCATATCACCTGGGCTGCAATCTTTATATAGGTCTAATTGGCAGCCAGACCACTGAGACAAAAGAAGAAATTGAATGCATTGGATTTTACTGTCTGCCTTCTGCATTCGTTCTAATGAGTTGTGTATGCTCAGATTCTACAAAAGCAACAGAAAATGGGCAACGGAGCATAAACGAGGCTCTAGGGAATCTCAGCTATTTTTTAAAAAATAAAAATAAAATTAATATCAACCAATCAATAAAAAGCTTTAAAAGAATGATAACATCACATACAAATAGATGTTATCCTACAGTGATGCTTAAAAGTTTGTGAACCCTTTTAAGTAGGATTATCATTTGAATGGGAAACTACTCAAGTATTTCAATCAATGGGATGATAATCAAGTGTGAGTGTGGGAGGTCTTGTTTTATTTAAAAACAAAATTCTGGGTAATGTATTCAATACTGAAGTTTGGCCCTCACAGTAAGGTGTGCGGAAGTGTGTTATGGCTTGAATAAAGGAGATTTCTGAGTAAATCAGAGGACTATTGGAAGAAAGTTCTGTGCCCCATTGACATCAAAGAAGAACTTTTAGGTTTGAATGAAAAATGTTGTGTTTGGCAAAAGAACATTATCCAACCTGTGAAACATGGTGGTGGACCAATAGTTTGATATTAGCTTACTTTCATAAAAAAACAGGCTAAGGCAATGCTTTGTTTGCTTTCTGTGTGGATGGCTCCAAATATGATGTGGTATTGGGAAGTCAAGCAGAACATTGCAGATATGGCAATGTACAGCATACTGTACACTTGGTTAACTTCTGTTACCATCTCCTCCTGAACATCTCTGTCAAGTAAGAAAAGCTGTATGAAACTGAGGAATCTACAAACTGTGAAAATCTAGGGGAATCTATAAACTTCATCCAGAGAAGATTCCTCCCCTTCAACCTGCTTTACAAAGGTAATTGTGTTTGGGGGACATTAGCTTACATTCATCTTAGAATTATTTGATTGCCTAGCAAACAACTCATTTCACATTAAGAAATGCAGATAGCCCTGATTAATAAGCCTAGAAACAAACAGTCCAGGATAAATGAATTAATAGACACGAACAATAACCAATACAACTGAGGAATTTTGAAGATAGGGATGAAGGAAAAGCAGCACTTCACAATTTATAAGACACAGATAATTATTCTTGTTCTGTGCATGTGTATATAAACTTGCTTTTTTCTATTATTTTCAGCCTTCAATGGCAATAGAGATATATGATTGCAACATCACTAGAATGAGCAGTGATAACTTCTCTCAGTTTTAGAGGTGTGATGGAGTTACAAGAACAGAAAGTGATACTGAAAGCACAGCAGTGTTGGCTTAGGAAATTACAAACCAATTAAAAAACTAAGATGATTTTTTGCTGGCAGAAACAGAGCACCCCTGAGATTAAATCCCTATTTGCTAGATTCATACAGTAATCTAAGCTACAAATCGAGGATTAAAAAGCTGGGTTTACATGGCACACTTGAGCCAAGGCCAAACAACCACATTATGGATTAACATAATATAATTTCTCAGTCATCTTGCTATGGTATGTGCTTTTAATAAGAGTTTCTCAATCAGGGTCAACCTGGAGGGAAAAAAATTCCTAGTAAATATATCATTGTATCATCTCTTACCTCATTTTCCCAGAATCACAAATCCTATACTTCAATCAACTAAAACATGTAGCATCCCGGCCAGAGGCCACAGGAGGAGCATGTTACCTACCCGATCCCAGAAGTGGTGATTCTAGGCTGAGGCTTGGAAGGGTGGATCCATGACTGAATGAACGTGAAGAGCCACTGATGCTGGAGCTGGCCAGGGATCCCCCAGAGAAAGGCAAAGAAGAGACAGCTGGAGTCCCAATCAGTTGTGTACCTGGCACTTCTTTGTTCTTGCTACCCTTGGGCCTTCCTGGTCCATGCTTGCTTTTCTTATTGGCCTTGTGCTTTTTTTCTTTCAGGACTTCTACTTCTTCCCCACTAAGAGATGGCATGCGCTTGTGGCTGCTGCCACTGCTGACTCCACCACTCCCACTTGGGGTGCCAGCAACCGAGTTGGAGGTCTTGTAGTCCACAGGGGAAGCATCCCGTCCCCTCTGCTGACTCACAGCCGAGGTAGAGAAACGCATGATGGAGCCAAAACCTGAAAAGATCACCTTCTGCTCAAAGACATCACTTTTCTGCCCTTCTGACAGTGGAGAGCAGTGGGAGGAAGACGAGGATGAAGAGAGGGGTTTGTGGTATTTCTCTTCCTCAGGCTGCTGCTGCTCAAGCTTCGGAAAGGTTACAAAGTCCTGGGAGAAGGGCAAGGAGCTGCATGACGTACCTGAAAGAGGATCAAGCAGAATCCTGAAATCTACAGCAAGCCGACTGGAGATGTTCTAGCTGAGGCTCTCACATATATCTCATCTTGTACTTTATAAAGTAAAAGATGGCTAACAGCTCCCTGCCTGCTGATCACAATTAAATCGATTCAAAACTACAATTAAAAGATTTGAACTACCAAAAATCCTCATCCCATTATAAACTAAAAATTAGCTTTTGTGAAGTAATTGCATGCATTTGCATTCATGAGCCTTATCTCCATTATTCATAATAAATAAACTCTATCTTGAAGTGATCTAATCATATATTTGGGCCATATTTTACTATTTTGTGGCACCTATAGGTAGTCCTCATTTAGTAGCCATTTGCTGTTACAAAAATAATGAAAAAGTAATCTCTGGATCTTTGTTTTATATGACCTTTGTGGATCTATAAAGAAAGGAAAGCTGAATTAAGATCATAAGCACAATCGCAGTTTCACTTAGTGATTGCTTTACTTAACAACTGAGTTGCCGATCCCTAAACAAGGACTACTTGTAGTAGATGTAGGAAATGTTTGGAATTAGTGAGAAATGTCTAATGTGGGCCTTACTAAACCATTTTTAAGGTATCAAACTGAGTGTATGTACTATGTCAGTTAAATATTACCTTATTCTTGCTTTACCATGAGGAGCAATTGGACTTTAAGTGCCTATTACATTTTTGTTGCATATGATATGATATATTGTGATATGTACTGTGTAAAGTCTTGGCTATAGGTACTTAATAGGTACTATTAAGTACTATAGATACTATTACTGCTACTACTTATATAACACTTATTTTGTAGATATGGAGAGAGCAATAATCACTTGCCTAAAACCACTAATTAGAGTAATGGATCTTGATCCACACTTATCAATGGTCAAAGAAAGGAGAGTGGCAATCAGGGACTAATTGTGTAAAGAAATGGGAAAAAATCAAATATAGCTGAATTACATAATTGATATATGTTGTGTTTCAGTTTCTTGTATCATCCGTCTGGATTCTGTTAGCCATTAGGGACAGGAAAGAACTATGCAAGATATGGAAATCTGACTATCTGCTGATCAGCTCTACTTCATCCATTAGAACATATGAAAATTTACTAGGACTGCCAACAATCCCTGAAGCCTAACTTTGTATCTAAGAGTTAGAACATATGGGGAAAAAATGTTTGGACTTACTTCTGGTCAATGCAAGCAGGAGGAGAATTAATAACTCCCTAAGAGGAGCCGAGGGTCATGTAAAACAGTGAAGACTTATCTACCATTCAGAAGACTTGTCCACCTACCATTCAGTAAAGCCTGGCTAATTCAGCACCCCCTCCCCTTCCCATCTTTTCTGTTTCTTTCTTCACCTGCTGGTGGAAATGTTACACCGGATGAGGATGAGCCAAAACCTATTGAGCTTTTCCCACTTCCAGACTTCTTGGTTTTGTGGCTTGTGCCGTGGCTTGAAGATCTTTTGCCTTTCACCTCCGATCTGATGACCTCTGAGGGTTCTTTACTGCTCTCATGGTGGCTGGTGGAACTCTGCTGAAATTAACAAATAGAGAAATTAAGAGGTTGTGTGTTGAAGATTTCTTTCACATCTGTACTGCATAGCATATTTTATATTTTAGAAATATTTGCTCAGAATGCCCAAAAAGCAGCAATGATCTGCATCACCAAAATGACAGCCTCAGAAATTGTTTTCTCATTCTGGATCATGGCTGAATAAACTGTGTTTTCTTCCATGGATGAGTATTTTTAAAACTCAAATGAGGACTTGCCAGAAAAAGGCATGTTAGCCGTTACTTAAAATAAGTCCATCACTATCTGAATTCAGCCTTTCACCCCACTGTCATGTAACTCTTACTTTTAGCAAAATATTCCTAGTGCCTATTCCAGATCCATTTTGAATGTTGCCAAGAAATACCTTGATGAGATGTGTGTATGTTATATAAATGGTTTTAAAAAATAAATCTTATCATTTGAACCCATGGATTTTATTCCCATGAAAATAAAATTTGTTCCATAGAAACATTTAGGAATTTTCAGAGTTGTAATACCGAAAAATCTGGAGGATGCCATAGTGAAGTTCGGAGATGATGAATTTAAACAGGATTAATAATACATAGTCTTATAATAACCATTTACCAGAGAACAAAGCACTCGTACAACAATCTCTTTTTCTTTCTCTCAAATTTATATAGCTGCTGATCTCACAATAACTGACTCTGGGCAATATAACCATAACAACTGCAGATAAAATAACATTAACATTAACCCTAAGATTACACAGAAGCAGCATAGGTCAAGCATACTTTCAGAATTTGCCTTCAAGGACATAAATACACCCAGCAGGTTGGAAAACTGAAAAGAGGAAGAATAAATTCTCCAATCTGCTTTCAACATGTTATATATTAATGGTGTCTCATGCTTTTTTTTCCTTTCTGTTTTCCCCCCTCCCTGAAACTGGTCTCTGAAAGATAAAGGTGTTCTCCCCTGTACCTCATATAGTATCCTCAAGCAAAACTTCTAAATTATTTTATTCCTATACAGTAATGCAATTAATGTTTTATTTTTAATATTTTATGTCCATGTTCCCATGTCATTGTGGGACATTTTTTTATTTATTTTAAGCAAAAATTCAAACAGTCAAGCTTTCCTCTCCCTATTTTATTTTTGATCTGCTGCTCAATCATCCATGTAGTGTACAATGTAAAATTAAATGTAAAATTATATGATAAAGAATTGCCAGGGAAAAAATCATAACCAGGATTTTACTGTTCCAGAGGTTATAACCAATATAAACCATGTAAATATTGTTTTTACTATTCTTTCAGGATTATTTCAGTAGTTCCTATTCAAGTTTCCTAACTGAATAAGGGTCATACTTAATAACATTTTTCCAGATCATTTTAGCCCCACACATTTTGTGATGTACAACTGGGAGAAACTTATTTATTGGGTGATTTAAAGATGGTTTTGGAGCCCTCCAAGCAAACAAAAATGTTTGGAAAAACCCAGAGAAGAAGCTTTAAAAGAAGTAGAAACTGAAGCAATGAATGATAGTAAGATGGAAGGTGGAAGACCAATCGTGAAGCCAAAAATACACCTTAGGTGCTCTGCAATAGATATTGCAATTATACATTAGAATGAGAAATAATCTTTTACTTGGTTGATATCATTTTGAGGAGACAATCTCTCTCCTTCTGCTCTCTACACAATACACAAATTGTGTACAACCATATTATTAGTTGAATAAAAACCTACTGCATTTACTCTGTTATGTCAATCAACCAGTTCTGTGCAACATGCATTCCAGATGAGTACATGAAAATCAGGGGATGAAAATCCTAAGGTTCTGTCTTTTGTTCAGGAATATAACTTACAACCATTTGTTTAATGACTGTTCACGGTTACAATGACACTGACAAAAGTAACCTATGACTAGTTCTTATGTCACTTATGACAGTTGTTGCATCTCCCGAAGTCACCTGATCAAATTTCGGGTGCTTGGCGACTTGGCATGTATTTACAGCAGCATCCTGGGGATTGTCATCTGCAACCTTCCTAGGGAACTTATGACCAGCAAAGTCAATGGGGAAACCCAGATTGCTTAACAACCACAATTCATTTAGTACTGATTTGTTTAACAAATCATGGCAAAAAATGATTGTAAAATGACTCACTTAACAACTGTCTTGCTTAGCAATGGAAATTTTGACTTCAACTTGTGGTCGTAAATCGAGAACTACCTGTAATCAACTGAGTTGATTTATAAATTCAGTTGGATTTGTAACCATCTTTTTTCAGTTTTCTCATCTGCTCATCTGCTTTTTTCAGTTTTCTCATCTCATTGCAGAGGCCAATAGGATGGAAAGAAATGCAAGGATGGGACAAGGATGGTAATTCCTCAAAGAAGTGCAAAATGAAAAAAAACCACCATCGTCCATCCATCAGGCTGATTCAAAAATCCGACCTCATTAACTACTCCCTTTCAGACAGAAACACTAAGGAGGATTTCCTCCTTATCAGTACCTCTCTGCTAATGTACATTAGAAGCTATTCACAATACATGCAAAGTCATAGGAATGCAGGGAGGCACATGTAGGGGGTGGAAGTAACTCAGAAACCACATCAAAGACCTTTTAAAGGCCATAATGCCAAAAGATGACTGAAATAACAATAATGTATTAATGCTGGGCCAAAATGTGATTCCAAAATGAACCTTTAATGGAAAATTCATTAAATTTTCAAACAGCCAACAGTTAAAGAGAAAGACCCAGATGTTTTCAGAGATTACTGGTAAGAAGCTCAGACTTTTCAATTAAAGTTCAAATATAACAATCAATTTAGGAAGCAAACTGTTTGCCATTCTTCTCAGGGGTGTCACTTGACTGACAATTGCAATTGCCTGTAAATTTCACCATTTAAACTAAATGAGAAGCCTTAGTTTTCCAACCTGCTTTGCTGTTACAAGGTTTTTTCCTGCCATGAATCTCACTGCCAAACTCACAATCTCATTGGCTCAAAGTGTGTGCTCTAAATTGGGGGGGGAGGAGTGGGGAGTCTGGGGCCCTTCAGATGCTACTAAACTACCATTCCCAGCAGTGTAGCAAGCACAATCAATAGTGAGGATGGTAGAAAATTCTGGAGGACTAGAAATTTCTCCTTCTCTTCTATTTAAATCTTTTTCAGTTCAATTAATTATTTTGTGTTTATGGCAAACACTTCTCATTTAGGCATGATTAAGCTTCTTTCTTCATCTCTTCTGATTGCTTCTTTTTTTTGCTGTTAGATCCCCTCCTACCCCAATAGCTGTAGCATTTGCCTACATTATTACACTACTGCCTCTAGCTTAAACTATTGTGGCATAGATTTAATTCCACCAGCCTGTTCCAGCTGCCAATTCCAGACAGTTTCTCAGCCATTTGGGTTTGGGCCAATCTACTAGATATATGATAGCAACTGGAATAACTTCAGTGGGGCAAAAGACAGACAGCCACTAGTAGAACTGTGGTGACGCAATGGTTAGAATGCAGTATTGTAGGCTAATTCTGCTGACTGCCAGCTGCCAGTAGTTTGGCAGTTCAAATCCTACCAGGTTCAAGGTTGACTCAGCCTTCCATCCTTCCGAGATCAATAAAATGAGGACCCAGATTGTTGAGGGAAATATGCTGACTCTGAAAACTGCTTAGAGAGGGCTGAAAAGCACTATGAAGCAGTATATAAGTGCTATTTCTATTGCTTTGTTTTTTGCTTCAATCCTTTGGAAACATAACTGCTCTCCCTGTGACCTTTTTGAACTCTTCATCATCAACTCTCTGAGTTGCAAGATCAGCAAAATTCGCAGAGTAAATAAATATACCATTAAGAGTATGAGTACAGATGTAAAAACATAACCACACACAGTCAATAAATATTAACCAGCATAAGCTATCACTTGAGGGAAAATTATACCCTGAATCAGTCTTTTTTCAATACTCCTGCATATTCTGTCCTGCATCAAGAGGATCTTCTTTTATGAAATGAGTTGCTATAAGGAGTGACCCAAATTGGAGAAAGTAAGAGTAGGGAAGGGAGAGTGCACAAAAGCCACTGAAGGCAGAACTGTGCACCATGGGTAAAGATTAGGTCTTCTGAGAGCAGGAGGAGGAAGAGGGAACAATGAACAATCTAAATCAGATAAGACATCTCATTCAAACAGAGATGCAATGGAACAACTCATGTAGGCAAGAATTAGCAGAGAAGAATGAAAAGCTTAGAGAGACACAGCTTCAGAAGATTTGTCCATATTTTTGGAATAAAACTTCTTCATCCTCTACCACCCAGGCAATGTGGGGATTCTATATAGGGAGAATGTAACAAAGACATATTTGAATGGGAAATTCTACACCAAAACCCAGATGATAACAAAGTACAGGATCAAGTTAAAAAAAGTAATCTGTTGTGTGTCTAGGTTCTCCTGTTTCAAGACATGTATGTACTGTACAGTATGCATACTGAAGATGACCGAATATACCTCCATGTAAGCCTAGCCACAATGACTCCCGTGCATCCGTAATTTCAAAACATGATGTAGGTACGATACTGGAAACTGTAGCCAGTGCAAAGTTTTGCAGTTCACTTCCTAAAGTAATTTATTGCACCTATTCACTACCAAGCTAAGTACAATTTTAGGGATGATTAGATCTCTGGTAGCTGCCAGAACTGAAACTATTTTTTTTCTCCCGAAGTTCTGTTTAACAACTTTTATTAAGGTGAAAATGGTCACAGTACAAAAATTCTAGCAAGTGAACTATTTCCAGTTTAAAACTTACATACAACTATGTATACATCAGGGCAGACACTTTCTGAGTCTTTCTTTACAATGCATTGGAGAAGAGACATATATGGTATCTGTTCTCTAATAAAACTTTAATATTTATTGAATTGTTTACACAGTAAACAAGCCTTATAGGCTTAAGAATTGATTCCTATATCAAGTCCTACAAACTTTGTATCCAAGTGGTTTTTTCTTCCCTTGCAGTATTAACCAGCCTGTCTAT